GTTGTTTCTAAGTGTCCTTGAAGGTAACTTGTAAAAGAGCTGCAGAGACAATTCTCAAGGGTCTGGGGGAAATGCTCGTGTTTTGTGAGTCGAGCTGAAGCCATTGTGGCTGTCTGTCTCCTTTGGGGAGAAACAGAGAAAATGGATCTATTTACAGTTGGTGTTTAGATTGGGGGGGAGGGGAGAAAAGGGGGGTGGCTCTAAGGCAGGTTTGTGCCTCTTTAGCAAAAGTGCTCTCACATATTTCTTCTCTGCTTCTCAAAGAGTTGCAGCTGGTTGGACAGAAGATGGTGAATCTGGACTGTTTGCAGATCAGCTTTCCAAGTGCACTTTATGGTCTCTGCATAAGTTTCCAGATCTGTGTCTAGGCGATACATCGCATATGTCCCAACCTCGCTCCCCTTGGAGTTTACATCATTTGTTTTTAAACTTCCAGTATATTTTCTCTTTCTCTTCCAAAAGCTGTAAGGAATTAGCTGCTAAACTAAAACAGGAGGGCAGTTCTCCTGCTGATAAAGAGCTGATTTTTGGCCCTCGCCACCGTTCAGCGCAGCGCTCCAGTCTGTAGCGCGGCTTCTAGAGCAGCTCCTGTCTCCAGCTGCCAGAGAAGTAGTGCTAACGCCTTCTGCATCGCAACGAGGGCAAGGAGCTGGGATGGAAAACTCCAAGATGAGGCCAAAGTGGCAAAACCAGGATGGCCAAAAGGAGGTTTTGACATCTTGGCCAAATGGCTGCAAGCTGAGCCCTGGTTGTCTTCCTCATCTGGGTCTCCAGCTTCGTGGAGCCTTTGCAAAGGCTGCTGGAGGCTGTGACTTCCCTAGAGAGCCTGATGGATCCTGGTGATGTGCTGAGGCTGAATTGGGGGAAATGTGGCAATTTTCTCAGCTCCTGAGGCATTGTGGTGACAGATGTGAACGGATGAGTGACAGAAGGTGCATGTCCCATCGTGGTCTCCCTCACCTCTAGCTTCACTTGGCCACTTGTGTGTATCCAAGTGGTATGTGCTGGTTTGGACAATCCCCCACGCCCCACCAGCTGGGGTGCTGGCCCAGCTGGCCAGCTCAGAGGGGTGCCCAGTCAATGCCTCTGTCTAAATCTAGATTTAAATCTATCTAAATAGATTTAAAATCTTATTTGTGTGCTTCAGAGCTCTTTGCCCGTGAGCTGGGAGATGGACTCCTACTCACCTGAGATCCTGGAGGCTGCAAAGCTGCTCTGAAATCACACCAGCGAGGTGCAGAAATGGGTGCTACCCGGTGGGCAGAGATGCAGAGGGGTCATTTCTCTCCCTGTCAGGCTGGAAGACGGGCTGTCACCCATCAGCTGGGCAGGAGGATTGTGCTTTAAAGCCAGTTTCCAAAATCAGGGGTCATTGACCGTTGCTCTCAGTCCGTCCTGAACTCAGGGTAACTGAAAGGAGGAGAAAGGAGTTTTCTTATTTACTTCAGTACCAGGAAAATCAGCATCTCCTGTGGGAGCCAAGATGACAGTTTCTAGATTCTTTTTTTCCTTTTTTTAAAATTTTTTTTTATTCTTCCCCACTGGCATTGCACACATGAATTCCCCCGAGGCGACTCTCCAGATCCCAGCCTCAAAACTCCCTTTGCAACACCCTGGAGAGCTTTCTAGGCTTGGATTTCCTGGGAGTCTCAGGCCTTTAGCTTCTCCTGCTCATCCTCTTTCTGTAATGGTCTGCAGAGGAGCTGGTTTTACTGGGCTGGATCAAAGCACCTCCCTTCTCTCATGGTTGGCCTCCCCAGCAAGTCCTGCTCTCAGCGTGGGAACACCCCGAGCAAGAGGAGGTGAGGATTCAGGAGATCATCTCGTTACTAGAGATACGAGCTCTACAAACTCCCAGCAGCTCCAAAAGATGATCCTCCTGCCTTTAAACCCCCACGGTCACATCAGCAACAGCTGCTCCAGGGAGTGAAGTTTGCAGGATCCACCCGATCCCAGGCTCAGTGGTCCAGGGAACTGAGCACTCTCTGGGTTGAGGCCGTTTCCATGGGCCTGGCGGTGGGTGGACAAAGAGCTTTTGCTTCCTGCAAACCAAACTTTGTCCTCTTTGTAAATTTTTATATCTAGAACTAGATCTTCTCCTCTTCAGGAACCTCCTTCTTGCAAAGGATGGATTTACTGCCCTGCTGAGTTCAATAAGGGAGATGCTGGACTTCCCCTTTGCTTTGGAGATTCAAACAAATGTCAGGTGATTTTAGCGTTATCTCTTTGTCTACAAGGAGGGGAGGCAGGTTCTAAAGGCTCAGGGGTGCTGGGATGTAAAGCTGTATATGCATAAAGACTGTTTCAATGCTGAACACTATAAATTCAGTGGTGGATTTAAAAAAAAGAATGTAAATATGCACTTAATGCAGAATTTTATGGATGGTCATAATTTAATATATTGCAAACTTTGTAAATACTTGGAAAAAGCCTGTAAAGTGTGTAAATAAATGAGATTTGTATGTAAGAAGAATTAAAAAAAAAAAGAAGTTTTTACTTTTTGCAATTAAATACGAGTGTTGATGCACCTTTTCCTCTTTCTTGATTGATTTTCATGTCACTGAGGGGTTATTTAACACTTTTTAGGGCACCTTTTTTTGGAGGGATTGAAGAGTCATGTAGACACAGTGCTGAGGGACATGGGTTAGTCGGGGACTTGTCAGTGTTGGGTTCATGGTTGGACTCAATGAGCTTAAAGGTCTTTTCCAATCCAGGCAATTCTGGGATTTTTAAGTGGAAATGTCATTTCAAGTGAAAAGTCCAAACACTTTTGTTTGGAAAATGTCAAAAGAAACACTTTGGAAAAAATGCTCTGTCAGTTTTAGCCTGGTTGATGCACCAGCTCTGCCTGTCCTTCCTCTCTTCCCCGTAACAATCTCCCTTGTTCCTTCACAATTCAGCTCATTTCAGCCAAACCTTGAGGGGCAGAAGACGACCAGCTCCTCCAGAGTCCTTAAAACCAGGCAAGTAGAGAAAGATCCCGCTGCTCCCAGGACCCCGCTTTAGCCTTGTTTGGCACCAGAGAAGCCACGCTGAGGACCCTCAAGATGTGAGGAAAACCAGGGTTTGCTGCTTCTGCAAGGCAGGGTTGTGCCTTCCTGGAGCCCACAGGTCTTGAGCCAGACCCTGCACACCCTGTCAGGTGTCACCATGTGGCTCCTGTCCCCTCTGCACACCCTGTCAGGTGTCACCCTGCGGCCCCTGTCCCCCCTGCACACCCTGTCAGGTGTCACC